AAAAAGAGCTCTGAGAGCATGCATTGAATAGGCTCTCCAAGCTAGGCGCAATGTTAACTAAAGGTGTCCAAAAACACTGGAGACAAAATTTTACACCTCAATAAGGCTGGAAAGGGCTACTGGGAAATAGCCAAGCAGCTTTGTGAAAAAAGGTCCTCTGTTGGAGCAATTATTAGAAAATGGAGGAAGCTAAACATGACTGTCAATCTCCCTCCGACTAGGGCTCCATGCAAGATCTTACCTGGTGGGGTCTCAGTGATCCTAAGAAAGGTGAGAAATCAGCCCTGAGCTACACGGGAGGAGCTGGTCATTGACCTGAAAAGAGCTGGGACCACCGTTTCCAAGGTTACTATTGGTGATACACTAAGACAACATGGTTTGATATGCTGCAAGGCACGAAAGGTTAAGCTTAAGCGTGTTCGTTAAGGCCCAAAGCAAACAGCCAGGATAACCAAGTAGTGGCTCTGGAAGAAGCATATATAGGTTCTGGCATAGCCTAGGCAGTCTCCAGACCTAAACCCAATAGACAATCTTTAGAGGGAGCTCAGACTCTGTGTTTCTCAGCGACAGCCCAGACACCTGACTGATCTAGAGAAGATCTCTGTGGAGGAGTGGGCCAAAATCCCTCCTGCAGTGTGTGCAAACCTGGTGAAAAACTGCAGGGAAGGTTTGACCTCTGTAATTGCAAAGGCTACTGTACTAAATATTAACATTGATTTTACCAGGTGTGCAAATACTTATTTGCAGCTGCATCATAGAAATAAATGGTGAAACCGGTGCTTTATCTGTTCAATCTGTGCCACACCGATCAGAAACCAATGTGTTTTCTCAGTGATTCTGTTTTCTTATTTCCCGGTTTTGGGATTATTATTTTTTCATAGGCCAATATTTAAAACCACTGACTGATAAAAAAGTAAAGGTAGTTCCAAACTTGTGTCTTCTCTTAGAATGGCGTGCCCATATTTGATTATTTTCTTCTCCTGTCCATTAAGCAATGCTTCTTTTAAGTTGCTGGGTGAACTAGGAGCTGACATGGAGTCGGTTACAAATGGAGGCCATTTCATATCTCCAGCGTCTGGGTGGATTCTTACTGCCTTCAATCTCAATCGTTTTTTCTAAAGTAGCTTTTCTGTTGTGCTGTCAAGCAGGGTTGGATTCATCCACACTTGTCCTTTCTTACTTTTAATCACATTCATTAGTGTAAAGTAACTTGCAAGTCTTTGTTTTGACAAGTGAGTTTTGTAACTGTATATATGAATACGAAGGTGCTCCTTTTCCACAGATGAGAGGAAATTTCTTTGTCTTTACCTAAGTGGAAAAAGAGTTTTAATATTCTGAAATTAAAAGCTTTTCTCTGTGGCTATCTTATGGCCACTGTTAACATTTCTGGTACTAAAAAAAATAAATCCCCAGTCTGCAGCACCATTATGGATCCATCTTGATTTTGAATTATGCATTAGGATTTATGGTTGAGATAAAATAGAAGTTTGTCTCCTGATTGTTTTTTTATTTTTATTTTTATTACTAATTAAACTTCTATGTAACCAAGCTTTAATTTTTTTCATAAACTGAACCTTTTTTGCTTGTTTTTTTTTTTAAGCATTAGAGCTCCCTGTTTTGGATCTGGGTCGATCAGGCCCTTAGTGTTTCGATAAAATGCTAGTTCTCACTTCGGATGTCCTGTAATCATCTGTGGAAATATTTCAGTTCTTGAAAAACTTTGAAGATTGTTTCCCAAAAGTTACACATCTATTCCAACACATAACTATGGTCTGACTCAGACAAAGCAAAGACCTATGACTTGGCTTTAAGTAAGGCAGAAGGACTTTCAATGTAGAACAGCTCATTGACACATCAGAATAAGTGGGATGGATAAGCTCTTCTCAAGACCAGCAGTCATGGTTCGGGCTGATCAGCAGGATCTAGAGTGACTGTTTTTTTTTTTTTTCATAGGCTTTGCTTGTTTGGTCCCCTGTTGCACTGTTTTAACCTTGTCCTCTACAGTTAGAAAATATTCTTCTGTGCAACTTCTAAAACTATAATCCCTCATCATCTATTGGGGAAGTTCCTGTGATTCACCCAACAAGTAAACTGATCAAGTTCCAAAGAACACCATAGTGTTTGTAAATTATGATCCTATCTTTGACGAGGGGATGACTCCTCCCCATTTCACACCTTCAGCCAGTCACGTTCCCATTAAAACAATGGCACCGCATGAAGGATGGCTTCATGGAGATAAACAAGAATACAGTATAATCCTGCTGCTCTCTCCACTCGGCTTGATCCTGGCAGTGTAAGCTGCACACGGGCCGCTCTGTACTTCACTAATATGATTAAGCAGCAGTGGGTGGGAGCAATGCAGCCTCTGTCTTTGCTTGAAAGTAACGATCCATCTACTCTTAAGGCCTATGAGTTTTTGTTAATGTTTTGCCTAAAAACTGTTTAAAATGTATAAATAAATCTTTTTTATCAAACATCCAGGATGGTCTGCTTGATTTAAAAATAGATAAAAAGCAGGCCATCTGCCTCTTAGTATAGTGAAGCAGAAAGGATTAAATCCAGATTATGGCAGTGTGTGTTGTGAACGTGTGTGTGTGTGTGTTGTTTGTCTTCAGTGTGTCCTTGACTCTATAGACAAGCAGGAGGTTAGCTAGAGAGCTACCTCTAGATTGGAAAGCTACAACAAGATTTTACTTTTTCAGTCAGAGGAAACATCCCAGTGCTTGGAGGGTGAACGCTTGAAAAACTCAAGATGGCTTTTTTGATCAAGAGCATGATTGGGAACCCACTGTCAGGGATAGGTCTCGGTGGTGGCGGTGACAAAGAGGAGGAGGCCGCCCCGTCAGATCCTGCAAAAGCAGCTGGGATGACTCGCGAGGAGTATGAAGAATACCAAAAACAGTTGGTAGAGGAGAAGTAAGTAGACACATGAACCAAACTGCATTTTGGGCTCTTGCTGCTGGCCCCATGGAAAAAAAACAAAATGGCTGCAGGGCATAAAATCTGACCTTGACATATACTTTTATTATATTCCCTCAATTTTCCCTTTCCCGTCATTGTCAAAATTTCAAGCCTATCGCTTTGTGTTTATTCTGTTTAGATGAATCTATTTCTGACAGTCACAAAATGAAGTAAAACTGTTTGTTCGCTTCTATGAATATATTCTGCATATCTAAAGTCAAATAAATGTAAAGCAGAAACATCATCTATAGTTTCCTCATTTTAATTAACCTAACAATTGCATAATAAAATAAATCATAACATTTGGTGATAATCTGTTTTGATTCATAAAGGATTTACAGTTTTTATCATGATCTCTGCTTCTAGATGCATGTTTAATCTTTTAGTTGCAATGTTTAGTTTAATGCCTTAAAGCCTGCAGCTATGTAAATGATTTAAAATTAATATTTTATTTAAGCTGCTTTAGATACACATAACTAATCAGCATATTTCTTTTGCACATTAAGTTTTTGTTTCAAAAATAATTATCTTGTGCTAAAAAATGTTTTACAAAAAGGTAATTGATATAATTCTGAAGTAATCAGTATTTAATATGTCTGTGACACACAGTTCTTATTTAACTTTAACAGAAATAATATCTATTTAATGGAACAAAGTGTACATCTATGTTTGGAGCAAAACACAGCCTCTTGTTTGTGTTACATAAGCAGATTAATCTACCTTCTGTGATAACATGTTTGAGAATATTTAGCTCTTAAAAGAAAAACTAATAAACATTTAGGGTTAGATATTATTATAAAGAAGAAAAAAAAAAAGCTGACATCTTAAAACCTTTAAAACTTAAGACTTAGTTTGAGGGTAAAATGTTTTTAATTAAATCAGCTTTGGAAACTGAAGACATCGTGTACCTATTAGAGTTCCTGTTGTCAGGTTTTGGTCAAATTGTAGATTTGCTTGATTATGTCTGGGTTTGTATTTTCCTCTCTAGCTGAGGGAAACTGCACCGAGAGTTTAAGGAAAATATCAGAATACTCAGATACTATTTAAAAAACAGTTTTTAAGACAAAACGTTACTAATCTGTTACAGAGAGACATTTGTGATATGTTTGATTGTATTTTGCATATGACCAAACCTGCATGAAAGCGCTGTCATAAACCTCTATGGTATTTGATTGTTGTATAAAGTAATTGGTTAATATTTCTAAGATATTGCATGAAAATACTACAAAATACACTTTGCTTTTTATTTTCCAACAGAAAAGTTTTTACACAAAATCCTATTGCCTACAGTTGTTTCACAGTTTTAACAGATACATTTTAAACTTAGATGCAAGTCAATAAAAAGCTGGTGTAAACACCTTATATTCTAACCAACCTGGATGGTGTTTGTTGTGACAAAGAGTGAAAGAGACTGAACTAATGAGATTGTTGTTTTTGTTATTGTTTTTCTATTTTACCAGGATGGAGAGGGATGCAGATTTCTTACACAAAAAGGCAGAGCGTGCAACTCTAAGAGTGTGTCTCAGAGATAAATACAGACTGCCAAAGGTAAAAAACTTGGTTTTTATCTTTAAACTTTCTGTATTTTCATATTTGGAGGTGGTTTGGTGCAGATGCCTAATAATATGAGCGTAACAGTTAAATAAGTGTATTCTCTTACCTTTAAAGCAGGTTTCAACATGGCAGATGCCAAGTATAACATACATTTAAAAGCAATTATACAGCAAATATTTCTAAATTTGTTTAATTTGATGGAGACAAAGAATTGACTGCACATGCATGCTTTGGATACAAAGGGATTCCCTTGCTTCCCCCTTTTCTCATCTTATGTGTTCTGCACGGGCCTTTTAGGCATATTGCATTAAAAGAGATGGCTGCATATTTATGCCATGGCGGAGACCTTCTAAATATTAGAATCTGTCCATCTTGTAAATGAAGAAAAGTGCAGGAACATTTATTAAAGGCGTGCTCAGCAGCAGGTAAAAGAGGGTGAAATTTCCAACCGATCACTCTCTTTCTTTAGCATCTCATTAAAAATACTAAAATATAGGAATATTATAAAAGACATTGTAACAAGCTTTCAAACTAGGATAAAATAAATCTTCCTCCAAAAAATATGGTTCATTTTTAAGAGCTATAAGTGACACTAAGATGCCTTTTTAGTCTTTCTACTTGTGAGCTTTTACACTGCAGGTTGGACATTTTACAGTTATTTTAAAGATTGAAGAGACTCTAAGGTAAAACAAAAGTGAAAAAACAATAGTAAGGGAGAGAAGCATAGGAGAAAAATTAATCACATCGTAACCAAAGTGTAGGACCTTTTAAAACAACTTTTAATTTACGATGAATATTCTAAATCTATATTGAAGAATGGAGGCTGTATCGGACTAACTTTTTGAATTGAATTAATTCAGCTTTGGCCGGGTTTTACTCGAGGTCACCTCTGTATGACTGCAGCACTTGGCAACAGCAGTCTGTTAAACAGCAGATTACTAAGAAAGGCTTGTTGCACCTTCAGTCTTAGAAAGCCAAATGCCACGGAGCAGGTGTTCCAAGCTTATTAGGGTGAACCTCGGCAGAGAGACCTGGCTTTAAGGAACTGCAGCATTGACTTTAGTGGATCTAAACTGAGAAATTCAGTGGAGCCTTGACAGAGCAATAAACTATAATGGAGGAGGAGAAAAAGGTATGTCGATTTAATTTAAACTATTAAAACAAGGAGTTTTTACATTAATGACATCGGGGCCATTGTGATGACAGATCTTTACGCTGAGAGGCTTTAGCTGCTCTAAACAGTTATTCTGTTTACCTTTCAAGAACTTGGTTGATTTAATTCATTCATTCATTTTAAAAGTCATTCTGCATTACATTAAAACCTTGAAATGATAAAACCTTAACTATTGGAACATGCAATTGTTTACACTGAATTGCAGTACATTTATATTATCTTTGATGCTGAAAAAATAACATTTTTATTTTATAGAAGTAGCATAACTGAACGTTTGTTGGGTTTAAAAAGAAGAAAAATTTCAATTTGCACAATTAGTTTTTAGGTGTGGATTTTAATACGGCATTATTCTTGACATTAAATGTATCAAACGTTTAACTATAAAAACAGGAAGTTGGAATCATAAGTCACACAACTTTACCAAGGTTATCTTTAGGCTGCGCTTGGTAGGAAAAGCTAATTCTGGTCTGATAATCCCACAGATTGAATGTTAAAGTAGTTACAGGATGGAGCCTATTCACATTTAAGTCTTGATGAAGCTAAAGATATAGCGATAATTAATAGCGGGAAACCTTCAATTATATGCATTGAAAAAACAACATATCCTAAAATCATTACAATATAGAAAATATATATTAAAATAAATGTCATCATTTTTTGTCTTATTTTGATCTCTGCTTGCTTCTAATCGAGAGGTTAGATACATTTGATTTCATTGGATTACTCAGCAAAAAAAAACAAGAAATTGTTTATACTCAAAAGGCTAAAAAAAAAAAAAAACGGTTATTTTTTTACACTTTTATTTTCAATTCACCTTTTAATTGCAGAACGAGGTGTTTACATGACAGAAGTCACACCAGAAGACTGAAGTGCACATTAAGTAAACATTATAATAATCATTGGCCAAATAAGTTGTGATGAGTTCAATTAGAAAATAGAGGAAAGCAAACCTTTGATTGTAGTTGTAATAAGGAATTACAACATGCAATTACAAAAATGTTAAATATATATAATTTTATTCATAAAATTGCAAATTCATAGAAATAAAAACCTAAATAAATTTAATTTCTGATCAAATCTAAAAAAAAAAACAGGCAGGTCTGACATTTTATGTGAAGCTTTTCATCATGAACCCAAATGTAAAGAAATGATGGGTTCCTCACTATATGTTCCCCTGCCTAATGTTCACACCTGCAGAGTGAGCAAGATGAGAACATGATTGAGATGGCTGGGGACGACGTGGACGTCCCAGAGGAGCTGCTCAAGATGGTGGATGAGGATGCTACGGAGGAGGAGGGCAAGGACTCGCTAATGGGCCAGTTTCAAAACTTGCAGAACATGGACATGGACCAGCTGAAGGAAAAAGCCTCTGCCACGGTCACTGAGCTGAAGAGCAAAGCAGAGGAGAAGTGCTCTGTTATGTGAAAAAGAATGAGAAAACAAAGGAGGAACATACACGGTGGTTACTAAGATGATGATTTAACAACTTGATTGGAAGAAATGAACCGTAACAGCCTGAGTCTCTGTACATTTTTGAACATAAGCCCTTTCTCATGTTATACAATAAAAAAAACATTCAGATCATAGAATGTATTACAACTGGCAGTGGGTATATATATAAAAATCTACAGTAAAATGTCCTTTTTTACTCTCAAATTTGCAGTATGTTACATTATGTTAAGGGTGCCCCATCTCTAATGTTTAGTGGTGTCATAAAATGAGACCAAATAAATGTGTGTGTGTTTTTCTCTGTCAAGGAAATCAAAGTGTTCCAATATATTCTGATAGAAAACCAATCACTCCTGTGTGATGCGACTTTCCTTTTGGTTTTATTTATTCTTTTTTTCTTTTTTGTCTCTGGTGTTTAATATATTTAGCTACTATTTCGGTATTACATGGAAGGTGGAGATTATCAAGCAACAAAAACTTTGCAGAAACATTTGCAGATTTGCACAAAACCTACAATACATGAATAATAAAGGCAACTGGTGTGTGTTTATAAACTGCTGGAATGTACTTTATTGTGAAAAGACAACTCTGTGGTTGAAATAAAAATGTATATCAAACTCAAGCATTGAGTTGGTTGTGGATTTCCAATTTAAAATTCCACTTTTTTTCTTTTGGATCACCAATTAATTAGCATAGGATGAAATTGAGAGACTTTCAAACATGAAACCTTGTAGGCTGAGAAAACACTTACTACTAGAAACATCTTGAAGATAAAGTTTCCTCACATTTCCATTTAATGTTTTACCAATTACAAACAATTTTTGGTGTCAATTATAGAAAAAGCTGAGTTTGAAGATAATTCAGAAGTTTTTTTTTTGGTTTAAAATAATTTTAATTTCAGTCTTTTTGATTATCATCCCTCAAACGTAGTAATATAGCCAGGAAATGTATAACAGTATGCAGCTGCAATTAATCTCATTTAAGCAAATCGGGGATAACAGAGTGAAAAATAAATAGGTCTTAGTTTAATTGGGCATTACACAAACAGCAACGATTAGGCTGAAGAAAATCAGGACGGCCATTTGGGGGGTTGGATGGGAATCTGCAGTGTTTGGAGTTTTGCAAGAAGCCAAGTTTGAACGGCTGCGGATTTGTAAAGTCTGGAGATTACATCTAATAGGATCAGCAATGCCAAGGTTGTCAGCCGGTGCCTTCTCTGCCTGCCTTTCAGATCATGTTTCACCCAGTGGCATTTTTTTAGGTCTGCTAAATATGATTTAGCATCAATATAAATAACTGAAATATCTCCCTCAGGCAGTGCAGTTTATCTAATTTTTACAATACTGATTTACATTTAATAGAGGATCATAGACTAACAAACCACAACATTAAATTATAAGGCAAAGATAATTAGTTATATATTGGTTACATTTTAATAACACTAGAAAATAAGAGGCTAAAATCAAAAATATGAAATGAAATTATGTTGGTGACACGGCAGGGATAGTCTAGATGTTTAATTAAATTTATAGATGATTAATAAAACCTTCAATAAATGAACTTTATTGATCTCACATTGGCTGCTCAGCTGCCTTGCAGCAAGAAGGTTCCGGGTTCGATTCCTGGGTCTTAATGCATGGATTTTGCATGTACTCCTTGAGCATGCGTGGGTTCTCTCTGGGTACTCCGGCTTCCTCCCACTGTCCAAAAACATGACTGTTAGGTTAATTATCCTTAGGTGTGAGTGTGTGTGTAAATGGATTTTTGTCCTGTGTGTCTCTGTAATGCCCTGCGATGGACTGGCGAGCTGTCCAGGGTGTACCCCGCCTCTCACCCGTAGACAGCTGGAGATAGGCACCAGCACCCCTAACGACCCTGCTTGGGATAAGTGTGACAGGAAATGGATGGATGATCTAACACTGAGAAATTTCTCTCTGAATTTAACCCATCCCCTTGGGGAGCAGTGGGCTGCCATTGTGTGGCGCCTGGGGAGGGGTGTGGGGTAAAGGGTCTTGCTCAGAGACCCAGAGTGGCAGACTGTGGGAGCGGGGCTCAAACTCAGAACCTCTGCATTCCAAACTCTATGCCCTAACCACTAGGCCGCCACTCCCCACAAAAGACTATTCCTACAAAAGACTAATATAAAAAGTAGGTCATTATTATAGAAAAATGACTTTTAATTGACAGTTGTTTTTTTTTAAAGTTACTCAGCAGCTGGCTGGCATTTTTAATTTTTATTCCTACAAAGCCTTTGGCATTTACAGAGAGCAAAGGCTCTGGAAAGATTCAGCGATTGTTCCCACGCTACAATCCCCAACGATGTAAATGGTTCACCATTTTCCATTTTATCTTTGAGAAAACTATTTAAAGGAATAGTACACCCAAAACATGATTAGCCTTCATTTTCTACTCACCCCCATGCTGAACAAAACTCTGGAGTACTTTTTTGATATCTCAAATGCATCTGGAGATCTGGGAGGCTTCTTGCTGTCTGCTGACATTCAAATAATGGAGGTCTATGGCGCCCGAGACAGAAAGGTCCACAAAAGTCCACAAAAACGTGTCAATATTCCTCCATACTGCTCGTCCAATGTAATCCAAGTGTCCTGAGTGGGTAGCATCCAGAATTTACTCGAAACGAAGTCATTTAGAACGTTTTAGAGCCTAAACAGTAGTGTATAGGATTTCCTAATAGCGCCCCCATGCGCGCTCACGATTCTACGGAAGCCGGCAGACCAAACCAGCGCATTCAGCTCGGCAAAGAACTCATGCTCTTCCTCAACACTGAAGTCCTCAGACATTTTTCTTTCGTTGTTTCTTTCTTTGCACAGGTAAACAGCACATTTCTTCTTCTACGCTTGCATTATCGGCAGAGCAGACGCTGAATGCGCACTCTCTTCCGGTTTGGTCTGCCGGCTTCCGTAGAATCGTGAGCGCGCATGGGGGCGCTATTAGGAAATCCTATACACTACTGTTTAGGCTCTAAAACGTTCTAAATGACTTCGTTTCGAGTAAATTATGGATGCTACCCACTCAGGACACTTGGATTACATTGGACGAGCAGTATGGAGGAATATTGACAAGTTTTTGTGGACTTTTGTGGACCTTTCTGTCTCGGGCGCCATAGACCTCCATTATTTGAATGTCAGCAGACAGCAAGAAGCCTCCCAGATCTCCAGATGCATTTGAGATATCAAAAAAGTACTCCAGAGTGTTGTTCAGCATGGGGGTGAGTAGAAAATGAAGGCTAATCATGTTTTGGGTGTACTATTCCTTTAAGCTGAGATCCTTAGAGCAGCTGGTACCAGTTTAGACCTTTTAAACCTTGGTTTGATTGTCCTGTATTAAAATGACTGTCACTCAGTTTGTAACCTTTTATCACTCCTTATTATACTGTAGCTATCAGGCACTGAATAATGATAATTTCATTTGCGGGCTAGTTCACTTTAAAAAGTGATAGTATGGGTTAAATGTGTCTCATTCAATATACTTTTATCTCCCAGCATTTTTCCCCTCAGGACCTTTCGTGGTTTTTTTCATGTAATAATCGAATGAGTCTCTGAGATTGAGTTATTGATCATTGGTCTGGTGATGGACTTTCCTCCATCTCCTGTCAGAAGATATGATACATATCATAAAATGTTGATCGAAATTAGAAATAATGCTCCACCATGACCTCCTGCTTCTATACATGGGCAGGCTGCTGAGGTTCTTCAACATCAGAAATACAACACTCAAAATGTATTGGCTCAGTTTTAAAGTGATCTCGAATCTCTGCCAAACCAGCTGTGCAAGCCCATAAATTTCCTTACTGCCCAAAACCATTATCTTTATTAGAATTTAAGGCTTCTGCCAACTGCTCGCAGATATAGGTTAAAAAAAAACAGAAAAGGGTACAAATGTTTATTTATCACCATCAGTAACAGACTCAATCATTCATTAATATTAGCCAAGAAATAAAATTGGCATTAAACTGGTTTTAAATTTCAATTGTCAAATAAAAATGTTATCTAGTGTTTTTAGATGGATTTATTAAAGTGCTGTCTGTGTGTCAATAGATATTGCTGCAGAGGTTTTGCTTTGTAAAAAGATTTGTCCCAGTCTCATACTTTGTGGTGTAAATTATGATATTATTCATTATCCTGACTCTTCACACTGAACCCCCTCCTGTTGGGCCAACACAGGTCAACTTCTCTAATTAGGGAAAACTAAATAGTGTTAAAGGTTTTAACTCTTTTGAGTAAAATAACTAATCCCCTTAAGGAGGATTACCACACTGCTGTCAATCTTTGTTTTTGTTAAGTGGCTTCTGGCTCAAATTGTTATTGTTTTGCTTCAGTCATCCTATTGAATGCAATATATAAAAGACATTGTTTTGAAATCCTTTGTTTTGATTTTGTTAAAAGTTTAATTTTTTTTAATTTTATCATCCCATCAATGCATGACAATTTAAAAATCTGAATCTACACTTTTTTTTTCTGACCAGAGAAACAAAAGCGTTTATTGAATCAACTTCTTTTTTGGCGACAATATCTTGAAGATATGATTAAATATTAAGCTGTCATCTTGCAATCCTTGCTCTCACCAGAGATCTTGTAATTATGATTTTGCTGTACCTTAATCTGTGGGATTAATCTTCCCCTTATTCCCCCCCACACACGTTGACATGAACATGACATCTGGAGAAGTGGAAAGATGGTTTTAAGATTTATGTAAGTAGGTTTAGAGGCATGGTGATGCACTTGGAATGGGGTGGAGCTCTGCTTAGGGAGGCTGCTGGCTTCACAGTTACCCCCTAAATCCAGCAGGACGTCCCCTCCGTGACGTGGGAGGGGAGGGGGTCCCATGCAAGACCTTTAAAACCCATCAGCAAAGATGCTCCATAAAAACAGAGGGAGACAACTTTCCAAAAAAAAAAAAAAACTCTTTTTTTGAGGAAAAGAGTAGAAGTGTGAATTTGGATTTTTACTTTTGGACTTTAGCTGACTGATGTGGCTGCTAGGATCTCCTTCCCAAATGATGATGATGATGGAAGAGCGCACCTCGCCCTCCGTCCGCTCCGCGCAGAGCCCGGGGAACAACCCGGCCACCGTCCACAGCATCGAGGCTATCCTGGGCTTCAAGGAGGACACCATCTTCCACAAGTCAGCGCCTTACACCGAGACCATAAAAGACTCAGAGCACAGCGGGAAGGACACTGTGACCCAAAGGAAGAAAAGTCATTACACAGACAGCTGCGACAGTCAGTATTCATTACTTTTAATTTAAATTTATTTTATTTTTTTGGTAGTTTAAGATATAATGCATCTGTTTTAAAAAGAAGAGTTTTACATATTTGAATAGTAGGAAATTGTTAAATAAAAAAACGTTATAATCTATGACAAATAACTTATTGGAAATGATAAAGTTTTAAATTCGGGGTTTTCTAATTTCATTTTTCCAGAAACAACAACAACACAAAATTATATTTTTTTCTTTGAGTCAGTGAACGCATCTTTGCTGCTTTCAGGTGTGTGCTCCGGGGAGGCTTCCGCAGGCCCGGACTCACCGGACAGAGATGGCAGGCTGTCCGACGACGAGAACCAGAAGAAGAAACACCGCAGAAACCGGACCACCTTCACCACCTTCCAGCTCCATGAGCTGGAGCGGGCCTTTGAGAAGTCCCACTACCCGGACGTCTACAGCAGAGAGGAGCTGGCTCTGAAGGTCAACCTGCCGGAGGTCCGAGTGCAGGTAGGACTGAGCTCCACAATAAACACTATATCAGAAACAGGAACAACTATTCCCTAATATTACTTTGCTTATATGTCAAGTATTTATTTTTCCAGTTCTAAAAATCTAATGTAGAAACCCTAAATGTTCCTAGAGAAGATCCACATCACTTTCTTCATTTTTTCTAAAAAAAAATTAAAAATGCAAGTTTTAATTAATAAACAGCCAAATAAAATTCAATAAATCTAAGCATTATATTTTAAGCAACTTTTTAGCAGAAATGTAAAAGGATTTACATTCTGAGTATTTAGATAGCTCTAAAAAAAACCAAGAAAATAAATAATTAATTAATTAATTAATAGGAAACTGCATTTTTTTTTCTCCATTGTTTGCAATGAGTTGTTTGGTTTTAGAATAACAACAGCTGGAAGAATTGCTTTGTTATTAATAATATGTCTAATAAATTTTCCACTTGAAAATATTAATAAATATAATTTATTTGAAAGGAATCAAAAGTTATATTTTTTTAAGTAACTTGTAATATAGTAATACAGTTTATAATCTTTTAATTGCAATATTTTAATATTTTCATGTCTTACATAAAAAGATTGTAAAATAAATGTTTCACATATGTCATTTTTGGATGTTATATTGTTGTTAATCTCCAATTTTTTCTAAAAAATCTCTCAAGGTTTGGTTCCAAAACCGGCGAGCCAAGTGGCGTCGCCAGGAGAAGCTGGAGGTGAGCGCCATCAAGCTGCAGGACACTCCTTCCCCGTCTCTCCTGTCTTTTGGCCGATCTACCAGCACCCTGGGCTCCACGCTGCCGCTGGAGCCCTGGCTCTCCTCTCCTATCACATCGTCCGCCTCCTTGCAGTCACTGCCAGGCTTCATCAGCGGTTCGCAGAGCCTCCAGGGTGCTTACACTCCTTCTCCTCCACCATCCATACCTTCTTCCTTGCCAGCATCTATTTTCACCTCGCCGGCCCTGGGACACAGCTCTCACCTGCCTCACATCAGCTCTATGTGCCCCACGCCACCCACATACCAGTGCTCAGTCAACCCAAAGAACTCCAGTATAGCCTCACTACGGATGAAAGCCAAGGAGCACATTCAGTCTATTGGGAAGACCTGGTGATTCTTTGATGGCCTGAAATCGACATGAACATCCAGACGACAGTGTTTGAAAATACTTTATTCTTCTGTTGATTGGATTTTATCATTTTGGACACTTTTACAACCCAAGAAAAATAAAACCACAAAATCCTCATAACTGGAGCATAAATTCCTGGACAATTGTAGAAAAAAACAAGTAAAAAGAACAAAATATAAGTATAAAATATGTTTAAATATGCTTTCCTTATCATTTATGATTTTTGATCATTGTTTCAACTGTGAAGTTTTGCTTAATTTCTCCCTATCTTGATTTTGCAAATAGTTGTTTTTTTTATCAGTACAAACTTCTCCAGTACAAACTGGCATCATTTGATTCTCTTCATTTGTTTTTTCTAATCATTCAGTCTTTTTGATAAGTAAATGTAATATATTTTTCCTGTATAATAAACTGAAAAAATAAGCATATTGTTTCAAAGACATTATAATTTTAAGAGCATTTAGGCAATTAAATCTCACATAATTTGTAAATGTGGGGGGGAAAAAGCTTTAAAAAATGATTACTATAGACTTTAAAACCTAAAAGAATAAAATAGATAATGACTAAATTTTCAAACATAAAAATGTTGCATTATATTGGCAACAAAAAAGTATAAAGCGCTTGTTTTTTTTACACGAGAAATTGGAAATATTGATTGTAGTGCCCTCTAGCGGTAAAAAGCTAAATAGCTTTTATTTTCAAAGTGCAGCCCCCTAAAAGTAAGATAAATCATAAGTTATTTTAAGCTTCCTTGAGTTTATTTCTGTTATTTTATAGTAGACAAATATCTATCATTTTTTCTAATATGTCCGAATCTTAATAAACTGTGGTATATCCCAAAGTGGCCTAAAACTATTAACTATAAACTCTTTTAGAGATTTAGTCCCCTCAGCCTGCTTCTTTCCTCCTCATTAACTCCCATAAACTTTATCCCTCTCTCTTCTGGGATCAGACTCCTAATAGGGGTGAAAGAGGCTCGCCCCTCAATTGTTCACCATTCATCCGTGACCAGTGGCTAAAGAGAGGGAGGAAGAAGAAATGTTAGCAGGGCTTTAAAAGGACGTTGCCAAACTTTTGCAATTAGTGTTAACCGGTATCTGCTTGAATCCAGTGGGAGCTAAAAATAATACTGATTGTCATCTATTCTTCTCAAACAGACAAACACTGGAGTGTCTGTTTTTTTTTTTTTTTTATTGTTTTTGTGTGTGTGTGTGTGTGTGTGTGTGTGTGTGTGTGTGTGTGTGTGTTTTAATACCGAGTCATTACTTAACCATACAACACTAATTGTGTTTTCAATTAGGAATATGGTTATTTTCGAGTTTTCTGAAACTAGAAAGTTGCTAAGACATGGAAGATATTCTTAAAAGTGAACTTTTGTGCCACCTAACGGTAAAACAGGGATATTGTAACTTACAAAGCAGGGCAATGGCCTTTTTTTTATTTTTATTTTTTTTATTGAAAATAATAAATATAAATGACAATCTCAACAATATCTAAATAATGAACATTACAAGAAACAAATAAGATCACAACTCCTATTAATAATTTATGGGGGGAAAAAATAACATAAATTATTAAGAAGAGGGGACTAACTGAAATTCTTCCAATAATTCAGACAATGTATTTGCTTTAAGGTTCTGCATCTTTTTCAGGCATCGGTTAAAGGAGGAAAGTTCGTTTTTTAAAGGAGAGAAGGAGAGGGAGCATTTTGCATAACAACATTTATGGATATAATATTTGGTTATAATCATCAAAGTATTGACTAAGAATTCCACATTTTTTTCATTAATATATAAACCAAACTGGATTATTTGTAAGGAATTAAAGTCCACATTTATAGATCTAGAAGATAGAAAGATCTGAAGTTGATCCCATAGGTTTCTTACTTCTTTACATTCCTAAAACAAATGATTAGTAGTTTCCAATTTAGTTGTAGAGACACCACAATTCCTAATATTGAATTTAAATCTCTCTCTTAGGTATTAATTTGAAGGATATATGTCATTTATTATTATGAATTGTAATTCTTTATATTTAGGAGGAATTGGGAATTTCAAATAATTTGTCCTAATTTTGGTTAAGGTAGATTTGTTAAAATGTTGAAAGAGAAATGTAAGTTTAGTTCGACCAGGGTACATATTATGTATAGAATATTGATTGAAGAAGCAGGGCAATTACCTACAAGCTTTATAATACACAGGGGCGGAGCAAGATGGGGGGCCAGGGGTGGCCCATCTGGCTACCATTTTCTTCCCTCTAATACAGATGGTGGCAGCAGTAATACTCTCAGGTGGAATATTCAAAACATTTAAATCTTTCATATATTAACAATTACTTGACAACAAAAACTCTGTGGTTTATTATGCACATCAATATACTAACATTAAAGATGATGAGTACAGAATTAATTCTCTTTTCAGAACTAGATTTTGTGTTATAATGGGGTAAAGAGAAAATGCAAGTCATCTAGGAGCCTTCAGTTAAATCATACATAAATATTTTAATAAAAATGTATTAAATAATCAATTTATTACTTGATTGACTTTATTGATCTCACAGTGATATTTACTTTATGAAGATTTTAGTGCTTGTAAATATCAATTTTATGCAGATTGATTATTAATAAAAGTAGGTAAGTAATGACAATGGAAAAGATGTTTGCCCCAGAACTCAAACCTGAAAGAATTTTATCCACTATACCTCTTATCTAAGAAGTGTGGATGTTTAAATATATGCATCTATTTGTTAGCAAAGGTTGTAGGAAAGTATAGTTTGTCTTTATTTAGAAAATATGGATGTTTTCCTCTTTAATTTTCCTGTTAAACAGTATATATTAACCGTGAGGTAAATCTTTTTTTTTACCCTTTTTGTTTATGGTTGAAAGGAAATGTAATATCGGAATGTTACCATCATAAAATTATCTTTTTATAAGAGAGAACTGTTCATTCAGTTCATTCTTGAAGCAAAAGATAGCGACTTGCTGTGTGCAAAGCATGATCCGACATCCACAATGCAAGTATAATTTTTAATTTATTTCAGATTCTCACTTTCTGTGACACGTTCTTGTCGGTCAGTAAGTAGTAGAAACCTTTATTTTGCGGGAGTAAAAATAGTAAATAACTGAAAACTGAAATGTTTGTGTCTAGCACAGTTTATACATGGTCATTTTGTTATTACAGAGAAAGTAGACGTCAGAAGCAGCGTTTCCAACCAAGTCTGTCTTTTCTTCAGGAGGATTCATTGTCTTGGAGTTTCAAAGCCAGGAGAAATAGGTGTAACATCTAGAGGGAACAGCAATAACACAGAGATCTGTAAGAATATTGAAGGTCGGAGATTACTAATGGTGTTTGACTCTGCAGGCAGACCTCTTGGAGATATTTTCCTTTATATTCTCTTCTCTTGTTGTTATGAAGAAGCTGTAGTATTGTTAGCTGTTTTTTTGGTGACAGAGCCTTCACAGTTTGGTCCTGGTCAACGATTCTGTCCGATTGTGAAAGTGTGATATAGTCAAGATTTACCTGCTGCTTTTCAGGCAAGCTCTTCTTTCCCATTAAATGACCTGTGGGTTAAGCATTTGAAAATCATTCTTCTGCCAATTAAAATTACTTGAACATTGTAAAAATAAGAAATAAACCATGAGAACCACCTGCAAACACATGCTTTAACCTAGGTGTTATTGTCTTTATTAACTGATTACTGATTAAAAAAACAAACATATTTTCAATCCAAATATATTATGTTACTTAAAAAGGATAAATGCAATTTGAAATATTAGGCTACATAAGTTTAGATATTTTGCCCATTATGATTCATTTTGCGCAATACAATAAAACTGGTTGAAATATTTCTGATAAATGTAAAGTTTTCCTTACCTACAGCCCAGTGATTGCCCCTCGGATACATTTTCCCAACTAATGCAGGTTTTTCAGAGCAGCGCAGAAAACAAGGCGCTGCTGCCAGGATGATAAAAACGCTCCAAAGCGCTCTGTAAGACCATGGATAACAAAGATGCACCGCACACATGATAGGCGGGAGGTTAACTGCAAACCAAGCGATGTTTACCAGCCCTTACTTTGCACTGACTTTATCCAGACTAACTTTAAATTACCTACACCATCGTTGCGTTTTCTGGAGGTTGGACCGATGCAAAGTGGAGGGGAAAACAAGACGTCCGATTTGCAGAATTTCTTCTCCCAATGGCTTAAATAGGAATGAGTGATAAAGAAAGTTAGGCGCTCCTCCTGAAGCAGCTGTACGTCAGCGCGTCTAAATGCTGCGGAGGAAGGCAGATACAGCTGGGAGATCATTTATAGTTGCCGATAACGCAGATTATTGCTTATATATTTTAGTTCAGGTGTGAACGTCACCGCAATCAGCACGAGAGCAGAAGCTCACCCCCAAACACCAGACGTCATTTGTTGGTTTTTAGGCTAAATATGTCCGTCCGTCATAATCTTGATTTAGGCCAAAAATAGTTGTTGAAAAGTGAGATGTTTTTGTTCGGTCTGATTTTTTTTCCCCACTTTAAGTCCAATAACAGAAGTTAAGAAAAAACGTTGCAAAAGTGAAACCAGTTTTTAACGTATTTTCGACTATCTGAATATATGGCTTCTTTCTACGGAAGAGGATTAGGGCAACTGAAAAAATAAAAAAAGTTAACTGATATTTTAATTTTATTTCAGTTGACATATGGGAAAAAAGTCAGAATTCTGAGATTAAAGTCAGACTTCTGAGAATAAAATTCAGAATTATGGGGAAAAAAAGCCAAAATTCTGAGAAAAAAGTCAGAATTCTAAGATTAAAGCCAGAATTCTGAGAAAAGTCAGAATTCCGAGAAAAAAAAGTCAGAATTTTGAGATTAAAGTCAGAATTCTAAGATTAAAGTCAGAATTCTAAGATTAAAGTCAGAATTCTGAGATTAAAGTCAGAATTCTAAGATTAAAGTCAGAATTCTAAGATTAAAATCAGAATTCTGAGAAAAAAAGTCAGAATTCTGAGATTAAAGTCAGAATATGAGAAAAAAGTCAGAATTCTGAGATTAAAGTCAGAATTCTAAGAAAAAAGTCAGAATTCTGAGATTAAAGTCAGAATTCTAAGAAAAAAGTCAGAATTCTGAGATTAAGGTCAGAATTCTAAGAAAAAAGACCCATAGATGAGGTGGGAGATGGACATTTTTCTCCTGGTCAGCTGGCATGTTGGGTTGCTCACACCCTGGATTCGTGATACTGTCTCCACTTCTGACACCGTTCCCAAGTTTCTGGGGTCCATATGACTGTCACCCCATGACTCCCTGATGGCCTAGTTTTGCACTGAAAAACTGTGTACCTTGCTTGCCAAAGGTGTTTTAGTGTCTGTGAAACCTTTGCTGGATCAAATGGGGTTTTATTCAATTTATATCCTGATTCCTAAAAAAGAACTGAGATCTTGATCTGACTCTGGACCTTAGGGAACCGACCACCCCTTCGAGGGTTATGCCTTTCTAAATGTTGGCCTCCAGACTGGTCTTCTTGGCAATCTGAGAATCTGAAGGATACATATTTTTCATATCCTTATTGCTTTATATCGCTGGAGGTTTCTCTCTGGGTGTTTAACCAGTGTGAGAGGGCAGTCCTCTTCCCAAGCTGATCCTGCCTTATGTGGACAACGGACAAAATTGTGCAGCAAACTGAAACCAGAAGGTCCGGGACATATTTAGTTAGTGCTGGCCCATATATGGGATCTGGGCTCAAGTGTGAACTTGGGGTAGAATTGCTTAAACCCTTCTCAGGTAATGGTCTTCCTTGGCATTTGCCTGTACTTTGTCCCCATGACTGCTTACAGTCCATGCAAGTGGTAACCAATGTTCTAACCATCCTTTAAGGCTTCTGTCATGACAAAGTGTTTTAGGCACATTCATCCCACGCAGAACCCCCTTAACTGCTTTACTTGTGGCCCCTGCATATGTGGCTGGACAGTCTTAGTTAAGACCCTGCCTGTCATGCACACAGGCACAGATGACATTGTGTTTTGCCTCTGTGCCGCCTGTCTCTGTCCCAGTGGCAGGATGGGTCCTACATCATGCACGGTGTTCTGATCAGGATCAGTTCTGTGTTGGAGGGAGACTGGCTTGGCAGATGCTTATTTGAAAGATCAGGATGCAACCTAGCAGAGCCATACGGCAAGGGGTAATGGCCCCACATTCGCCCACATAATCAATCTATATGCTTTAGATCTTCTGGCTATGTCCCTGGCTCTTTGTGTTGTGGAGGAGCCCTGTGTTGATCAGTCTGACAACACCACAGTGGTCTACCACATAAACCTTCAAGGGGGTACAGGTCTCTGAGACTGCTATTCCTGACAAACCAAATGGGTGGTATCATGGCTTTCCAGACTTAGTGCAACCTCCATCTTAGGTCTGCAGAATGCACCTGCATGCTTTCTGTCTTGCTGGTTGCCTCTTCCACATTAATGATGGCTTCACCCAGAGATAATGGGTCACGTTTGGTTGGTCTTCAATGTGGCTAAGGGTGGATCTCTTTGCAAGGATGCATCTTACTGTCCCCCTTGGTTCTCAAGTGTCTCAACTGTCAGACTGGGCTTTATTGTTGGGCTGTTCTTCAGTAATGCCAGACATTTGAGTTCCTTCCATGCAACCTGTAGCCCCTACATTGTGTCTATTTTCCTTAAAGCCTTTTGGTCTTCCCAATTTGAGTCCATACAGGGTGGATCTGAAGCTCTTTCTGAAGACTGGCTTTCTGCTAGCCTATGTTCTTGGCAACAGCAGCATGCTCTGTCTATTTCTGTGGAATGTTGTTGATAGAATCCATATGGTTACTCTGGGGACTAATGCTTGCAGCATCTTGCCACTCCTGCTTTAATTCTAGGACCCTCTCTGAACATCTGTGTCAAGTCGGAGGACTTGAAGAGTATGTCACATGATAGTATGTCCACTCTAAGATCAAAGACAAAAACCTTTGTCTGTTATACTGGTCCCCAGAAAGGCTGTGCCCTTTCCAAGCAGAGGATGGCATGTTTGAATATGGGTGTTACCTTATTTTAGGGTCAGCCTCTACCTGGAGGGGAATGCCACTACACCATAGGACCCTATCTAACTCATTGGCTGGGATTACTGGAGTGGTTTTGGAGGCCATTGGTGAGGCAGCCTCCAGCACCAAGATGCCATTGCAAAATTCTATGAGGTGAACATGGCCACACCCTATCCCCTACAGGGGCTTCCAGCAGCAGCGTTCTATGTCTCACTGCGGTAGGTGCTGTTGTTGCTTTCCGGTTGTCTTTTCTTTTTTGGATCCTCAAGGGCCTTATTGTTATATCTTCTCTAATATTTGAAGCACCATCTCTGGTGTTCAGTATAAAATAAATAGAGCAAAATTTATAATTCTAACTAGTGCTGGAGTTATCTTTTCTTTTAGTAATTGATTGACTGATTGATTTTTCAATTAAATTAATAATCTAAAAATAAATACATTTAGAAAATTAGTAGCTTTGAATTAAATAAAACAAACTAATTTTGCATTTTTTTTATGAATTGCACACAGAAAAATTTTAAGATATATACAATATACATACATATAGACTCACTGGCCACTTTATTAAGTACATCTTGCTAACACCGGGTTGGACCCTCTTTTGCCGTCAGAACTTCGAGGCATAGATTCGATAAGGTTTAAGAAATCAATCAGTGTGACATGATTTGCACTATATGACATGGTTCAGTTTCCTGATGGAATTAGTCATCAGAAATGGCTACACTGTGGTCATAAAGGGATAAACATGGGATAAAGCAATAATGCGCAGGTATTCTGTGGTGTTGACACAATGCAAATTTGGTACTAAGTGTGCCAAGGAATTATATCCCATATACCATCATACCACCACCAGCCTGAACTGTTTTTACATGTTGCTGAAGCTTATTACACAGACTGAGTGATCATGCACATTAATATATAGAATAATGTTGATCACAACAAATTACTTTGTTGTCATAATTTTTTACAATTTTTCAACCTGCACAGCAGGAATAATGATCATGATCAATGCTTGAAGCACCACCTCTGGTGGTCATCTGGATTTACTGAAGCATAGTAACATTTTTAAACAATTATTTGAAAAATACATACAAGCTGTTTACAAAATGTGTGCACCCATATTAGTAAAAAACAGAACAAAAGAAAATTTAAAACCATTTTAATTTAAGCCTTTGTACTTTAGATAGTTTCTTTAACTCAAACTTTGCACTCTTAAGGTTAAAATGAACTCACAATTTTATAGATTGTGAATCAGATTGACTTTACCTTAAATTAGAATTTTCTTTCATAGGTATAACTTGTTCTTTAGGAAGATATTCCTCAAAACTATCAGCATGATTGAAGTGTGTTATCAACCTCACGAGAGGTAATCTGCCAAGACAAAAAAACTAAAGTAAAAAAATTAATTGTGAGATGTAGAAATAGCAAATATTGTCGTAAGATTTCCTAATATTGAATTTTTTAAAGGATTTTGTTATCACAGTTAAGCCAAGGTGCACTTTAGCATTAGTTTATTTTTGGCTTAAATCTCACTAATTTATCTAAAGAAATAATATTTATTAAAAAAAAAATTGTAATAAGATTGGCATCACACAGGACAATTCAATTAAATTTATTTATATAGCGCAAATTCACAACACGTCCTCTCAAGGCACTTTACAGTTCACCAGATCATACAGTAAAATTGATTCAAAGTTTTCTATCTAAGGCAATCAATTTGATTGCATTGACTCGACTCGAAGGCAATACCACACACTAAGTATGCTTGTAACGACAGTGGAGAGGAAAAACTCCCTTTTAACCAGAGATGGCAAAAGTACTCACTTTCCGTACTTGAGTAAAAGTACAGATACTTGTGTTAAAAAATACTCTGGTAAAAGTGGAAGTACTGATTAAACTTCTTTTCTCAAGTAAAAGTAACAAAGTACAGGCTTGTAAATTTACTTAAAGTATAAAAGTAAAAGTAGAAACCACTTTTTTCATGCCGTTGCCTACATTTTAAATGAATGTCTGCCAATAGGACTAGATCTCCGTTGTGTTCATTTTCAATCATCTCGTTGCCCATACTACTATGCTAACACCACCGCCACCGAGCTGTCGATTCATCTTGTAGTGGTGCGTCAAATGCAACGTAGATTCCCATCCAATTAGATTGAATTTGGTATTGATGACGTGAAAAATAATAATGGTAACTCCATTGAAATGATTCAAAACTAAAGTAACAAGCCAATTTTTTAAAATGTAAGGAGTAGAAAGTACAGATATTTGTGTAAAAATGTAAGGAGTATAAGTAAAAAGTCGCCATAAAAATAAGTAGTACAGTAAAGTAAAATATCAGAAAAATCTACTTGAGTACAGTAAC